CACACACACACACACACACACACACACACACACACACACACACACACACACACACACATGATGCAGATGGTGAGCCCAGGACAATTGGACAGACATGCACAGAATGAGAAGTTGACATGGCAAGTACATTGTACAGACGTAATGCGAACAGCGACGCAATGCGTAAACAGTCATGAGAACAGCACTGCAGTGCGGTGCCAGCTTGTCGTGGAGTGATGGAGGCAGGCATGTGCATGAATTGCTCAATGTCGCCCGCCTCGTGGATGTCGGGAAAACTTCTGGGCCAATCCCGTGTACTGGAACTGCAGCGACAATTCCAGATCCTTGAGGAAGGCACGGTCACTTAGAAGGTATGCTTCCATCTCCTGTCGGACTCTGGCTAGGCCAGCCGTGGGTGCCCGTTGGCATCCATCCTCCATGTTAAGCAAAGTTTCGAAAAACTCGCTCCACAACGCATGATTCCATCCTCTTCGCCGCAAGACCTCTTTGGGAGCATAGCGGCCACCCTTCCCCCTCTTCTCCACCTCCATGTACGTCCCCATCAGCATGCAATGTGCCACTCCGCAGAGGTTGAACGCATCTGTTTGGTACTTCCACGACCTCCGTTCCACCATCTCACTGCAGCGGAACGACTCGGTCATGCAGTCCCCCTGAAACTGCACCCCCTCCGGGAACACAGCCAGGTCAATGCTTCGCCCCCAGTCTATGAGACACAACCCTCTTTTCTTCCATTCTGCAGGCCGACCTGGCTGCCACTTGGTCCACTCATCGCGGTGAACTCTCATGAGCAAATTGTCCGGCTTAAGATCCGCATGGATGAAGCCATTTGCGTGCAAAATCTCAATCATACGCAGTAACTCGATGGTGTAGAATAGACACATAGGCTCTCTCCATCGCCGATTGGCCTCAAGATCGAGGTTGAGAGCGTCCTGCAGGGTGCCGTAAGCAAGGTACTCACAGCTCATCACACTGCAGTCGGAGAAAAGCCACAAACTCGATGCAGAACCAAACGATTGCCTCTCCTCTGGAGGTATCCGAAGGTCGAGTTGGGAATAGAGATAAAACTCCCAAGGACAGGCAGGTTTCTGATACTTCAAGGCCAAGCAAGGACTTCTCTCAGCCCGAGCATGCTGATACCCTCCTTCATCCTCCTCCTCCATCCGCTCATCCTTCCCCTCGTCTCCATCTTCCAAACTAGGAGTCGCATAGAAGATACTGCCCCATGCTCCGGTGCCAACACATTCTCGAACTGTGAACGTGCTTCGGTCCAGTGTCAACGTGGCCTTCCTGATTCTCCGTTTCTCAATGTCATGCAGATTTCTGGCATGCGGAAAGCGTTCTCTGCGAAGATCGACCAAGCCCGGGGAATGGAGGAGAGAAGTCAAGGCCATCTCCTCCAAGGACTCGCGCAGTGAGTCCTCCCATGGGTCGACCAACTGAGTCCCAATCACAGGATCGGGATCCCTCTGCATTGCTTGTTCACACCCGTCCATCCCCTTCTGCTGCTCGTCAAAGTTACCAGCGGGGACAAGGTTTTTTGAACGGGAGTCCTCTTCCTCTTCTTTCACATACAACAGTTGGGTTGGGGCAACACCACCAGCGGTCCTAATCGCGCTCCCATCCCTAGGTGGTGGTCCCGTCCCACCATCCAAGGGACATTCGACGCCGTCTGTGTCTGGGAGGCTGCTTCTCGACACATTGTCGCCTTCATCCTCTAGCATGAGAGAGAGCTTCGATACACTTTCCCTCATCTCGCTGACCACCTCTTCTTCCTTGAGCAAGCGGGCCCCTCTAGCAGCTGCTGTTTCGCCTTGCCTTGGTGATTGCCCGGAGGGGGGAAGGGGAACCTTAGACACACCTTGAGCGCTGCTCCTCTCCTCCCCCACTTGCTCCTCGCCTTCCGCTTCAATACTAAGCGACTCCCTGCTTTCTCCATGGGGTGAAACACGCTCCTGCTGCACCCCCCATTCCTCTCTTACGTGTTCACCGGACTTGTCAGAGGGAAAACCTTTGCTGCCTCGCTCGACGCTCCGTAGATCTTCATCCTCCTCCATCATGGCATCCCTTGCCGTCCTTTCATCGTCCATGTCTGCCATCGAGACTACAGACCCATCAGCGACGCAAAGCCCCTTGATGTCACCCACACTGTTCTCCTCTCTCCCTTTGTGCAACTCCTGCAACCCGGTTGAGTCTCTCACTGCTGCCAATCCCTTCTTCCCATCCTGCCGAAATGCCACAGCACCAACACTCCCCGGGGCGCGATTCTCCTCCTCCTCATCCTCCTCCTCCTCCTCCGGATGAATGGAGAGGCCCAGTGGCTGTCGCCCTCCCTTTCCCAACTGCACGACTTTCTCCTGGTCCATCTTTAACATCCCATTCACTCGCGCATCACTGGTCTTCTCCTCCAAAAGTGTCTCTTGTTCTCGGGGGGGCAGACCTATGAATCGTCGCCCCCCTCCTCTTCCTCCTCCACTGCCTCCTTTCTCTTCAGTCGATACTTCTCTCTCGGTTTCTGTACCCATGTCACAAGAGTGACCGTCTCCAGTTTTATCCAGATCCATTTCCTCCTGATGATTGGCGAGAATCCCCCCCAGCTGCCGGGATTCTCCTCCTCCTCCTCCTCCTTGCATGTCCATGTGTCTTCCATCCCCTCGCTTGTCTATCCCAGCTGAACAGCCATCGCCATCAATGTTTGCTTGATCCAATCCTTCTCCTGGATAAATAGAGAGACACGTTGACGGGAACCGCCCTCCTAGCCCTCGCCCTTCGTCTCCGTCTGCTGCAGGTAAGACACTCTCATCCATCCTTGAGTCGCCGTCATCATAGACAAGTAGCGTCTCAGGCCGAGCACGGCTGGTGTCCCGATTTCCCAAGTTCGATGTAGAGATCTTCCACGAACGGTCTTTGTCCTCTCCGTCCCCGAAATGTCGCGATTCTTTCCTCTTACGCATCTGCTGCACCTCCCTCTCTCCCATCTCGTTCTCGTCGCCATACACGGCCAGCTCACCTCCGCCGAGTCCGAAATTCGATCTAGCACCAGCAAAGCCGCCGCTTCCTGACCGACCACAAGCGGAGGCCAGATTTGCTCTATCACCACCAGACCCACTCTCTGAGCAAAGAGGACGAGCTGCTGCTGACAGCTGGCTGGCAGAGCCACCAGCTTGCAACGACAACCCAGCACGTCTTCCATAGATCCGTTCGGCTGTTCTCTCTTCTGCACTTCCCTTTTCAACGAGCCCAGGTTCGCTTCCTCGCATCCTCCTTCCTCTTCCCGGCTCCCGTTCTTCACCAAGGCTTTGCCCGTCCTCGAATACCTCGAGGAGGGTCATCTTCTCCCTCTGACTACCAGGCTTCTGGCTGAAGACGGCTGGTCTTGTTCCCCCACCTTCCCCACCAACTCCACTCTCCCCTTCGTCCACAAACACTGTCAGAGGGCCACCTAGGCCCAATACCCCTCCCCCTACGGAACCACATTTCAAGATTTCTCCCCCTCCTGCCATTGTTTGAGGCCTACACTTCTTCCCCCCCTGCCCCACTCTCACGTGAGGCATGTCGCCAGAAAACATCGAGAGGATGTCGTCCACAGCCTCCCTTGTGAACACCGTTCGCTCACATGGATCAACCTGATCACCAAACACATTCTTGTCGTTCTCCTCCTCCTCCTCCTCCTCCTCCTCCTCCTCCTCCTCCTCCTCCTCCTCCTCCTCGGCTTCCTCATTGTCATCTTCTTCATCATCATCTCCATCATCATTATCATGCCCATCTCTTCGCCCCTTCCTTGGCAACCCCATCAACGGCCCGCGAAGCAGCTTGAATGCCGTGGCATCTATGGCTTGAGTGATCGACTGAGTGACGTCAACGGTCGGCTGACTCACCTCCTCAGCTGTCCGTTCCCAGGCGGCTGCTGAAGGTCCACAATCCACAACAGTATCCGTTCTGTTCATCGCGTTGAGCCCGGGTCCTGGAGGTGCCCTCTCCACTCCGTCATCTTCGACCGCCGCCGCCATATCCTCCTGCATTCTCTGCTCTCGCCATCCAACCTCCATTGGGATCGCATCCGCAGCTCCGGCAGCAGACAGGGGGAGGAGGCTCGACCGTGACCGCGAACTAGAGGTATCAGAACGAGGCAGAGGAAACCGAGAAGACGCATTGCAATTCCCTTCCAATGACTGCGGAGGAGCGCTCTCCACGACCGGCAAAGCTGCAGCTGTCAAAGTACTCTTGTCTGCTTCTGCTGCTTCTGCTGCTGACCTTTGCTGAATCACCATCCATCCGTATTCTTCGAAGGAGATGGCTCTCGGCTGGAGGAAAATTGCCGGGTCACAGCCCCAGCATCTATGTCTGAAGCCCTCGTCACTTCCCGAGCGACTCTCAGGTAACGAGTGCGCGTGGGCTGCTACTGCAGCACTCGATGTCGGAGGTAGTGGTGGCATCGAAGACCGCAGCACGGGCTCTGACGAAATCAGATTACCTCTGGCTGGCACAGCAGGACGAGGGGAAGTAGGCAATGAGGTATCGGGTAAAGAAGAAGGAGAGGAAACAGCGGCAGGTGGAAATGGAGGATGACCAAGCGCCGCTGCCGCCGCAACAACGTTGGTATCTTGATGTCCTCCTCCTGCGAATGGGACAGGTGTCCCCCCCGGTGGTATCACACCTGATAGCTCTCCTCCTCCTTCCGATTCCTCCTCCTGCAGGTCCCTGTGGCACGAAGCAGGACCCCACCGAACTTCAGTCCTTGCTCGCGCCCCCTCTGCCAGCAAATCGCTTCTATCAGATTCAACCACGACGAAGTGTTTCGGTGGGTCTCTTTCCACCTCCTGGATCTCCTCAGACAGCTCACGGCGGCCCGGCCTTGCATCCCCCCCGGTATCCATCTCGCTTGGGCCGGCCCCATCAATCTCTCGAAGTCGAAAGGCCATGGTCGGCTGTTTCATCGAGCTCGCCCCGTTGTGACTTTCCGGGCGGAATTCCTGTTCGACAATCATCTGCGAGTCCTGAAACACCTCCAGCGGAGCAGAAGCTGTCGTTGATGTCAACCACTTCTTTCCAAGCATCCTTTCTCCCGACGGTGACTGTCCGGATCCCTGCGATCTTTCCTTCCTGGCCGCCAGGGCCATCGCACTCAGTCTATCGGTTTTGTACCCCTCGTTGAATCCCCTCAGTTGATCTCCACCTCTTCCTGCTCCTGCAAGGTTACTCCCACTCTTCTCTCCTATGCCATTCTCCTCCGGCTTGACAAACGCTGGCGCACCATTTCGTGATACTGGCAGCGTACTTGCCTCTTCAAACACCTGTAACACCACCTTATCCGTACTACTCAGCAGTGTGCTCTGCTTCATCTTATGACCACTGGATGGCCGTACATACAACTGCTGTCGCTTCTGTTCCTGCTGATGTTGCTGATGTTGCTGCTGCTGCTGCCTTTGCTGCTGCTGCTGCTGCTGCTGCTGCTGCTGCTGCTGCTGTTGCAGTGAATGAGGACCGCAGTTTAGTTGTTGCCCAAATCCCTCCTCTTGTTTATTGCTACGCCCAGTCATGGAAGGTAGGGAGGGGAGGGAGGAGAAAGAGGAGGAGGAGAAGGAGGAGAAGGAGGGTTGCTGACGTTGCTGCTGTTGCTGCCGTTGCTGCTGTTGCTGTTGTTGCTGCTGTTGCAGTGAATGAGGACCGCAGTTTAGTTGTTGCCCAAATCCCTCCTCTTGTTCATTGCTACGACGAGTCATGGAAGGGAGGGAGGGGAGGGAGGAGAAAGAGGAGAGGGAGGAGAAGGAGGAGAAGGAGGGTTGCTGCTGTTGCTGTTGTTGCTGCTGTTGCTGCTGTTGCTGTGAATCAGGACGGCAGTTTAGTTGTTCCACGAATTCCTCCCCGTGTTTATTGCTACGCCCAGTCATGAAGGGGAGGGAGGGGAGGGAGGAGAAAGAGGTGGAGGCAACGACCTCAGGTATCAAATCCGCGAACGACTGCAGCAACTCCTCGTTGGCTGCTTTCGAGTGCTCCAACCTCCGCAACTCCCTCCTCACTCTGATCTTCATTCTGTCCATAAATTCCTCCACTTTAGTCTTCAGCCTTTCCACGGGATAAGCTTCTCTAGCTATCCCCAGTTGGTACATTTCCCTCGCTCGTTCGTGCAAGTATATGGTCTCGCAATGAACCGCATAGGCTTCGTAGTACAGCGCATAGCCATGCCCAATCTTCTTCTCTTCCAAGAACTTGAATATGTGCGTTGGATCTTCTTCACATGCTGCGTACTGCACCCACACTCGTAGATACCGAAAGTCGTCACGATACTGATCATCTTCACTGAAGGTCCAAGCACATCCCTCCAGAAAAGGGCGCCTCTGACGCTTTACTTCATCGGGGGGGTAGTTCTCCTTCAGCCATTTCAAGTACGACACCCATGGCTGCAAAGGATCGCCTCCCCGGTAATTTTTAATCGCTGAGACGAACACCTCCTTCTCCGCTTCCAGCTTGGATGCCCGAGACAGCCTGCGGCTTTTCTCCGGTGAGGCTTGAATACCGCCACCAACGGCCTTCGGCGGAGTACCAATCCCGATCCCGATCATCTCCACGTCACTGGCTCCGTTCACAGGTCGCACGTTTTCCTTGCTTGGCGGCTCCACAAACGCCATCTTCGCGCCAAAATCGTAAAATCCGGGTGGGGGGTGTGGTGGGGGGGGAACAACAAAACGAGGTCCTTTTGTCTTTCTCTCCCTTTGCCAACGTGACTCTCGCCCGGCCCCTAATTAAGCACACAAGTAAAGCCAGTGCGGCTAGCCCCGCACAATTCCAATCCGTCATTAACTAATAATTACAGCTACCATCATGTATATATATACAGTATATGTCGTCACAAACAGAACTGCCCGGTAAACCGTAGGCAGAGAGAGAGAAGAGGACAACAAATATTGTCACACTGTGAATCGGAGCGCGAAGGCGGAAAAAAAAAAAAAAAAAAGCAAAACAAGGAAAGGAAAAGAAGGAAGGAAAGCCCCACCTGTATATGTATATATATTGTCACACTGTGAATCGGAGCGCAAAGGCGGAAAAGGACAAAAAAAAAGAAAAAAAAAAGGAACGAAGTAAGGAAGGAAAGCCCCGCCTGTTCATCACCTCTTACGTACAAGGCCAGCCACGTGGATGACAGGTTGAGCCCTGGCTGCCCCCATCCCCGTGTGTCACAAGGACCCACTTGCACGCAGCCAAAAGGCAAAAAAGAGGTAAAGAAAAGGAGGAGGAAACCAAACCTGACAGGGAAAGAATGCCTATCAGTCAAACAAAGCAAATGACACATCCTACACATAATCCAATTGTCACAAAGTATATATACATACAAACAGAGCTTTCCGGTAAACCGTAGGCAGAGAGGTAGAAGAGGACAACAAATGAGGGGCTGTGACAAACTGTTTCATCGCAGTTTCACCGACTCATCAGGAGGCTGAATATATATATGTATAATATATTGTCACATGAATATCAGAGCGCAAAGGCGGAAAAAAAACAGAAGAAAACAAGAAAAAATAAAAAATAATTCGCTTTTTTATCTTCTCTCTTACAACTCCCCCTGTTCAGAACCTCTTGCGTACAAGGCCGCCCACGTGGATGTAGGTTGAGCGGCGGCTGCCCCCACCCCCGTGTGTCATATCGACACACTTGCACACAGCCACCAAAGCGCAAAGAGGCAAAGAAAAGAGGAAGGGAACAGCCAAATGCAACAAAACAGGGGGCAACAAGCAATAGCACCAAAACCGGATCCTAGATGACAAGTCCCACATGCAAGCACCTCCCCTCCTTCACAGGCCAAACGACAGGACAAGACCACCCAGGACAAAACTCTTGTCTGCAAAAAAAGAAAAATCCCAGATTACATATCTATATACAGCAAGATGACCTTGTTCGTCATCAAGACGTGGGTATTCCCATTTGTAAACCGTTCTTACTGGGACAAAAAACATAAAAGACAATCACAGATGACGATTCCCACATGAAAGCACCGCCCCCTCACACAGGCCGAACAACCGGAAGCAACCAACTAGGACGCCAAGACGATAAAAGAGAACCCGGATGACTGGTCCCCACATGAAAGCACCGCTACGCTCGCCGAAATAGACCGAACAACGGGACCAAACCAACCGGGATCCAGACAAGATTACCACACCACAACAAACTCTACCATATCCATAGTTTAAAAATGGAACCATACAGTAGGTCCGCGAAATGAAATACCCCATAAATGGGGAAGAGTAAAGCAAAAAAAAGAGATATGTATGTATCGTCAAACAGAGCTGCCCGGTAAACCGTAGGCAGAGAGGGAGAAAATCATTGTCAAACATGGCTATCTTCTCTTTTTTGGTCGGCGGCCGGTCAAATTCAAAGGCCCCTTAGGGCCCAAATTTCCCATCTTGTATATATATATGTCCTCTTCTCCCTCTCTGCCTACGGTTTACCTGGCAGCTCTGTTTGACGATATGCAGAGAGGGAGAAGAGAAATATCGTAAAACAGAGCTGCCCGGTAAACCGTAAGCAGAGAGGAAGAGAGGCAGAAGATGACAACAAACGAGGGGCTGTGACAAACTGTTTCGTCGGAGTTTCACTGACTCATCAGGAGCCTACCATCATCTATATATCTATATATTGTCACACTGGAAATCGGAGCGCAAAGGCGGAAAAAGACAAAACAAGAAAAAGAAAACGAAGTAAGGAAGGAAAGCCCCACCTGTTCGTCACCTCTTACGTACAAGGCCAGCCACGTGGATGACAGATTGAGCGCTGGCTGCCCCCATCCCCGTGTCATAAAGACCCACTTGCACGCAGCCAA